ACTGAGCTACATGCCCAGGCCTTTTTCTTTTCTTTTAAATGATAAAAAAAATGTTTAAAATTTTCAGACAGTGTCTCACAATGTTGCTAACTTGCCCAGGCTGCGCTTGAACTTTCAACCTTCTTGCCTCAGCCTCCCAGAGTGCTAGGAATATAGGTGTTTGCCAACACCTTGCTCTCTTTTATATTTGATCTTGTCTCTGGCTATATGTAAGCTGGTTATATACAAATCTTTTCAACTACTCCAACGGGTTAGGATCATTCTGTGTGGAGAGAACCAAGTTCCTTTCACTGATTCAGTTCTATCAAAGAGAAGAAAAAACCGAAAATCCAGACTAAGTCCCTCAATGAAGAGTTCTGCCAACTCTAACCAGTGCCAGGAGATTTTCGTGGGTGGGGTGCTCTTTAGACCACCTACAGCAAGGCCGCCTATACCAGCTGTCTTCTCTAAGAGGCAGCTGGTCCTCTACTGATGGACAACGGCAACATGGAACTGTGGAATTCTTCACGGTGGACGAGACTTGGCACCCATAGCTCCTGACTAGGGTGCTGGGAAAGAGCTAGATGTCTATTGCCTAATCCACCATCCTTTTGTGTGTGCAGCTTGTAGGGCTGCATGGGAAGCGGGTGCAAAAGCTGAAGCCTTAACAGCTTGTTACCCGCAGTCAACAATGCTGCCATGCTAACAAGTCCTTGAGCAGGGGGTGTAGGCAACTCTTCCCTATTAGTTCTCTATAACAGAATAACTAACATGGCAAAAGAACTGTGAATGGAAATGAGTCTTAAGGAATAAAAAGAATAAAAGATTATGGTTAGTAGAGCCTATCTACCTACCTGAGTACCTGCTCTTTCTCTCATACACATACATGCATACCTTCATTATAGCTCATGGTTTGCTTCCTTTTAAAAAAATTTTCTTAGCTATTAGGTATGACAGTGTCTGGGAGGCTGAGGTATGAAGATCACAAGTTCAAGCCTAGCCTGGGCAACTTAGAAAGACCCCATGTCTCAAAATCAAAACCAAAAAAGGGATGGGGATGTATTTCAGCACAGAGGCCCTGGGTTCATCTCAGTACCACAAAAAGCAAAATACAAAACAAAACCAAACCTGAAAATAAAGCTTAACAGATACGCAGGCTACACTCTTAGAAGACCAGTTTCTACCAGCTCTCTTCTCCTTTTCCTATGCCAGCTTTTCTGTCCCTGGATACTTGAACTGCTGAGCAGAAGAGGCCTTCCTATGAGGGAGGTATGGGAATGGGAGACGTAGAAGGGGGCCTCAGAGCCTTTGTTCCCGAAGGCCACCTGGCACCATGTGTCCAAGTGAAGTTCTCTCTCTTGGATCGAAGACTACCCTGTTGTACACACTCCCTATAGCTACAAGTAATGGAAGCTTTTAAAGAAGCTGATAATGTTTGTAGAAAACTAAGATTCTCAGGAAATATACCAACTGGTAACTGATCTGAAGATTTGTTCTCTCTCATTTCCCTGTAAAGTCCTCATATGATGGGCATGGAGCCCATTGATCACTTCCCTCTTCAGTGAGGCCTTGACAACCTCCCATAGGTCCCTAGTGACACTGGTGGGTGAAAATAGCATCAGATCTCCTTGATGCCCAAGGCTGTTGACCCTGATGATCAGAAGATGCCCCAGTTCTCAGAGGAATGTTCTGGAATAATCATACCCACTGCAAGGGAACAAGTGAGGATGCACCATGACTTGGATTTCTCTCTCCTGATATGACCAGTCAGGCTGACACTAGAAGTCTCAAAGGAGCATGGGGACCTGAGGGGCAGTAGAACTGGACAGAGGAAGGTAGGAGTTCTTTAGTGAGGAAGTGGCTCTCCAGTCTGCAGTCTGGCCTTAGGTGAGTGTCGCACCCGGTCACCATGGCAACAAGGCCCTCCCATTATGCCCTGAGAGCTCTGCTGGGAGACCAGAGCTCTCGCTGTAGGGCTCAGCTGGCTAAGGGACAGAAGCAGGTCTTCTAAAGTCCTTGCATACCCAGGAGGGCCTGGATCCTCAGGCTCAGAGTATATACCAACATGGCCCAGGAACAACCTCGGCTGAGGCTGGAAGCATCATCCTGCAGCTATCAAGTCTACCTTGCTGGGGGCTCTGGGCAGCCCTGATGGAGCCACTGCCAGGGACAGATGATCTTTCTGAGTCCAGGGGCCACAGTGAGAAAAGCAGGGCTTCAGAATCCCATGGGAATCTCTGAGGCTTTCTCCTTTGCCTTCTGGGGAAGCAATGCTGAGAGTTCCTTTTTCTATATACTGCCAAGGACAGTTCTAGAACCTCCTATAGTCACTCATCCTAAGGATTTACTAATACCACCAAAACAAAACCATTTTTTTTGCAGTACCAGAGAACTGAACCGAGGCAGGCCTTTGCACTGAGCCAGCTCGTTTTGTTTTAAGACAAAGTCTTGCTCAGTTGCCCGGGCTGGGCTCAATCTCGTGATCCTCTTGCCTCAGCCTCCCAGACTGCAGGGATTATAGGCATGTGCCAGCACGCTTGGCACTAATTCTTTTTTGAATATAAATTCCATACACTATAAACATAGTTACTTTAAGAAACACTCTTAAAAAGATAACTGATAAATGTTAAACAAGGAAAACCACCACTCTTAATCTTGCCACCATAGGATTCTTTCATTCTTACAGTCTTCCTGGTCAGAGGTACAATTCTGCTCAGCTACCATAAATTATATATATATACATATATATATATAAAATAAAATATTAGTATCTTCCTGTAACGTAAGAAATATTTCCCCTCTAGCTGCCGTAATTCCTGCTTTTCCAGGGTCTCCATATTGCTGATAGGCAGTGAAATGTTGAGGCTTCCAGCTGGGTTTCCTTCTTGGGGTGAGACAGGATGGGTTCCACATGCTGCCTCTATGATCTGTTTTCTGCCAAAGATTCCTGTCTCCTTCCCTCCCCCTGCAATCTGCAGGTAACCCCAGAGTTTTAAAGGACTTTACTTTTTTACTTTATTCTATAAAGTAATACAGTATTTTGCAAGTATCATTTGCGAAGCAATGCTCTACCCCTGAGCTACACCCCCTGCCACACAAATATCATTTGCATTTCTCTTAGTGTGTTTTCCCCAGGTGGGAAATATGACTGTTGTATGAACATTCTAGCACAGTGGTGGTGATCTGCTATGATAAAACAAAGCCATTCTTTGAGGCTGTGTCAGATTGTAGAGATGGCTTTGGCATGGATTGAAAGAAACCTGAAACTGAGGGAGACTTTGTATTTTACTTGGGAGCAAGAGGTTTTGATCTAGTAAGTGTCTGGTCTGTCTTGCCAAACTCAGTTTTGCCCCTGATGGGGCAGTAAATGCTCTCATGAGTGTGAGGGAGTCCATTTTCCCATGAGAGCAGAAGGAACGCCTAGTTTTCCACAAAAACAGTCACAAAATAGTACAACTAACCAAGTTCGTTATTTCCTTTCCTGGATCTGCAGGCTGGGCCAGTGCTGCAGAGGTCTCTGAATTTGCTGGTTAAATTGACTGACCCAGAGACGAGGTAGGCAGGAATCACACTGACTCTTCAGGTGGCTGGGCACTGAACTTGGCTGTTTAGATACAGGTGGGTATGGCCTACTATCCCCTCTGCTAGACAAAACCAAATCAGAACATCCAAAACCCACAAAAACCTCAACTGGGTGCTTCCACTGTGCTCTTGCTGCATCTGTGTGTGTTTAGGATCTTGGAACAGCAGCAGCCGTTGCCACTGCCACTACCGACCAGCTGTTCCCTCATGCACATGTGTCCCCTTGTAAACCTTTTAGCAAGCTGGCAGGCTTCACACTCCTCACTTAGCTTTGTTTGTGTTTTCAATGAATCAATGGAATATGGAGACTAATCAACATGTTTAGAAAAATAAAGAAAGGAAAAAGGAAGAAGGCTCATGATGCCGGCTGTTCCAGGAAGCTGCAACAGAAAAGCTCCATTACGACTGTGGGCTGAGAGCAGTGGGAGTGGGCAGAGGGACACAAGGGGCAGAGTGGGGGGGGGCATCCAGGAGCAGTGGCTGTGGTTAGTGTGGTCAGGCGTCCTGGGCAGAGATAATAGGCCAGATGGGAGATCTCTGAGGCCTTGGGTTCTCTGGGACCAACAGGCAGTGGCCATGCTTTTCAGCCTCACCACCTGCTGGCCTCTCCCACCTGTGCCCAGGCTCCATCCCAACCTTGGCCCCTTTCCTCAGCACCACTGGCTCTCCATTAAATCACCGGGGAGTATTCCTAGGTTTTTTTTCTCTACTCCTCATCCTCCTGCTTCTCCCATCCTCTCATTCATAGGAGGCCTTCCAGTTAGATGAGACATCCCCCACAACCTTACTGGGCCTTGTCCCTGCCCTTTGAGAACAGAAGCCCCTGAGCATGAAATCCAACCTTAATTCAGTCCCCAGCCCCAAACTCAGGACTCTGCGCCTAGAAGCCAATAGATAATGATGGGATCCAACGATCCCATGAATGACACAGCAATCTCCCCACTCAGCTATGGATTCTCTCGCTCACCATTAAAAGGGAAGTCCTTGAGGGATCCAGTTTGCCATTAGCATACCATATCCCTTCTTTCTTCTTACTATTTATTGAAACTTTATTTGTAATGGCCAAGATCCAGAAATAACCACAATGCCGGTCAATAAAAGCAGTATGAACAGTGGTAGCTCTCTACCATGTGGCGCTAAGCATTCAAGCCAAGGAACAAATTTGCTACATGCAATGAGTTGAATGGACCTCAAGGACATTATCCCAAGAGAAAAAAGCCAATCTCTGAAGGTCATTTTTTGTATGACTCCATTTAACATGACACTCTCAAAATGCAGCACGGTAGGGATAGTGGCCACGGTTAGGGACATGTGAGCTTACTTCCAGCTCAAGAGATCTAGATCAAAGGATGTTTCAGTCTCTTGGTCCAGACCCGAGGAAGGGGACCATGAAAAGCAGTGAGATATTTCACACAAACCAGCAGAAGTGGGCTACTTACCTGAGCTCACACAGCCCTGCTGTAGAGGGTCTTGCAGCGAAGTCACTGAATGGAGGACTAGAGAAGAAAAAGGCAAAGTTAAATGAGGAAGCAGTCCAGGGCTCAGGGTTTTCTAATTAAATGATGTACAAGGATCAGGAGGGAGGTGAGGAAGGGGGAGGTTTTCTGCTGCTCATAGGCAGGCCAGGACCAGGATGGGATGAGGTCATCCAGGCCTGGAAGAGGCTTCCCACACAGGCCTGGACTGAGAGCAGGTAGAAGCCAGAGCCTGTGACACTTTCACTTCTGTCTTTGGCTGGCTTTCCTTCCTGATTTCCTGATTTAGCTACTTGACTTTTACCTATATTTATGTATAAACAGCATTTTCTTAATTGGTAACTCATTTTCTGCTGTCTATAAAATTAGCCAGGCACAGTGTTCTTGCTCTTAAAAACTAAACGTCACTCCCATGGTGACAGGTTGTGGAAGGAAGGGGCAGTTCTCAGCTTCCTGGGGTGGTCAGCAGCTGGAGGAGGGTGCCTCTTCCTGACCAGATTCCTCCTCCCTCTCTGAAACAGCTGGGGGAGGGCAGAGGTGACCTCACCTGGCCCTTGTGGCTGTCCCTGTACAGGCAGCACTCCCTGGCCCAGCTCGCCGTTTAGCCAAAGCTGCATCCGGATGAAGGGCTCTCGGCCTTTCTGGGTTAGCTTGCTCCATGGCTTTGGCCGGGATAGCATGTCACTGACGCTGCCCTGGGACAGGCCCAGCACCTAAAGTGGTACCCAGAGAAACATAGTCAGTACCCATGTATTAGCATGATGTCACAAGGTACCTTAGTGAGGCACTCATGGTTGTGTGGGGGTATGTAAGAGAGGAGGGTACATATGGAGCCTGGGAAATCACATCTTGGGGGACTATGACAGCTTGGGCATGAATAAGTTTTACAAGATCACTGACAGCCCGGTATTGGATGGGGTCTTGGACAAGTCATGTATAGGCTTAGCTTGTAGCTCCCAGGGAGAGGCGGAGCTCCTTCCCAGGGTCTGGGTCCTGCCAAAGCTGTGGGGTGATTATCCTAACAGCTGAGGAGGAAGCAATGGGAAACTTCCTCCTCTTTGCCTAGGTACCAGGAAAGGCTGGGGTGCTGGGCCCTGAAGCCCTCAAGATGCAGGAGTGGGGGAACTCTGAGAGGCATGGGAAGCTGGACTTCTTTGCTGACAACAAGCCATGAAAACTTTGTGATCACACTCAACCCAGAGGTGAGCTGGTAGGGACCAGGAGCCAATGTGGGAGTAATATTCAGCTGGAGATGATCGACAAGTTGCATGCACACCCTGAGGCTTCTGATGCTTGCATATGGCCATACATATGTATAGGCCCACACACCCCACCCAGGACACAGATGCAGCCCAGAGATATTTAGGGGCTGCATCCCATCACTCTTCTGAGACATTCTCAAGTTCCAGAATAAACTACACTCATGGGCCAAACAAGTGCAATGCTATTAAGTCTCTGCTAAATTTAAGGCTTGAGCACAAACGTCTATTTAAATGTTCTCAAGTGATATTTTTACAATGCTGAACTAGAAATCTCAAGGGACTTTAAATTCCCACCCTTGCTTATAGTACCTCTATCACCTTTTGCAAAATCAAGACAAAGGGTTCACAATCAGATACTAAGGTTGATAGCAGAGTGCATGGCAAGCACAGAGCCAGAAGCTGGGCAGGGAAGTGGGGTAGAGGGTGCCATAAGGGTCCCTAGGGCCACTGTAGATGCAACCACGTGCCCTCTGGGAAGGCTGCCTCCCAGGGGAGTGGTGCACTTCTCACTATGTTCAGCAATTCATTACCCAATCTAAAATGATACTAGGGCGTTATGTTTATTTTAGATTTTACAGGCATAGCAAATCCCCATTACCCAGAATCTGTCATCAAGGAAGTGCCAAGAACAGAAAGGTCTGGAAGCTTATCCAAGAACTATCACACTTTCAAGAGCTGGGGAGAGATGGCATGGAAATGGCAGCTCTCACCAGGTGTGTGTGCTGGGCTGTTGCTTTGGAAAATATCCAAATATTTTCTGAGTTGTACTGGGAAGGAACAGTTGGGTTTGGGGTAGCTTTTTTTTTTTCCTTTTTTGGTATCAGGAATCAAACTCAGGACCTTACATTTGCCAGGCAGGTGCTTGTGCCACTGAGCTACATCCCCAGCCCTGGGGTAGCTTTTCTATCAAGTCCACTTTGGTTTTCTATAGGCTGGTTGTCTCTTTATGCCATCAGATCAGACCTTTTTATGCCCAAAACAGCCTTGCGGGGGGGGGGGGTGCCTCTTGGTTTCACTTGGCAGTGGAGGCTGGACAGAGTCACGTGACAGCCTGAGGCAAGCAGTTAACTTCCTTGAGCCTTGGTTCCTTATCTGTCATGTGGTCACTTTATGAGGCATCCCCCGGTATAGCTGAGAGATCCAAAGGAGAGCACAAGGAGAGAAGTCATGCCCAGAACCTGGTTTGCCATGGGGCTTAGCAAATGGGACCAGGGAGCTGGTGGCCTCTGTGGAATTGGGAATCAATGACACATAATGCATTTGGGTCAGTTAAAATGGATGCTGGTCAAGTCTCCTAGGATGAATACTCAGTCCTAAACCTCGAGAAGAGATGCTAATGCAAGTCCTGAACAAATATCCTTACCTTTTCTCCGAAGATCCTCTGGCAAATGCCGTTCTTGGCCAGCTTCTCTTTAACCTGCCGGGTGAGCTCGATGGTGTCCACCTCTTGATACATGTAGATCTCATACTGTTCAGGGGTCAGTGGAGGGACGGAAGGCTTGGTGGGCTTTGCCATGGGCACAATTGGGGAGGAAGGCAGAGGGCTGTTCTGGGGTGTTTCACTGCGGCTGGCTCCAGTCAGGCTCAGCTCTGAGCTCTGGGAGTATGGAGACTCAGCATTGGGCCATTCTTTCCAGTACTCTGACGAGGGTCCTTGGAGCTGACTGCGCTCGGCCCGTGGCTGGCTGCCACTGCCACCCTTTTCTTTCCCCCCTGTAGCCTCTTCAACCTTTGTCTCTTCAGAAGAGGTGGGGTTTCTCCTCTCAGGCTGCGCAGGGCTCCACCAGTGGTCCTTCCATCCGCCCCCACGGCCCAGCTCGTTCTTCACGTGCCTCAGGACCCCTTGTGCAGCGTCTGTGGTACCCTGTGGGTCCAGGGTGGGCACGTCCTGGGCCTCTTTTTTGAGGGCCGGGGTGTTGGGCAGGGCTGAGGCACTGGCCTCAGGGGCTGACGGTGTTTTCTTCAGGGAGATGGCGAGAGGAGAATAACTGGATACGGTGGGCATAGGTGAGGCAGACAGGAGCTTGGGGGTCAGGAGGGCGAGGTCAGGCTGGGACAGTGGGGCTGGTTTTAAGGCAGGGTCAAGGGCAGCCTGCTGGGCTTCCATCTCCCGGCGGGCTTGCTGCAGGATGGAGCGGATGGCATCATCGGAATTCCCACTGCTGGATGCAGAAGATGGCTGGGCCGGCTCTGTTGCATGGAGCAAACACAGGGAGAGGTTGAGGTGTGACTATACTTCATTCTACTTTACCCCACCGCACAGCATAGGTCATTTAGGAGAACCATTCTGTGCTATTATCTCAGCCTTTCCCCCATCACTGAAACATCTGTACATCCTGTCTGAGCAGCAGGCACACAGGACTGAGGCCCCTGCCTGATGGCCCACTGGGCTGTTCCACACCTGCTGGATTTCTTATCATGGAGTGTGACCAAGGTGAGGTATGGAAACACTCAGGGATACTGCCCCCTGGGCTTCTTTTGTGGAGAATGTTAAATTTGACAATAAATCTCCTGTGATATCTTCCACAATTCTTGTGCTTTTCTGGAATGTAACAAGAGGCTAGAGCATCCCAGGGATCAGTAGCTATTATTGGAGCACTCATGCTGTTTATACCTGTGGTGTGGCCAGCAGGAGTGGGCCTCACTGGCAGAGGGGAAGGGGAGTGACAGTAGGGTTCAGGAACCTAGGGCACTGCTGGGCTTCAGCTTTTCTATCTGTAAAAGGAGGACGGCTGATGGATCAGATCAAAGGTTAACCAGGACCTGACCTGCATGTCGCTTAAGGAGGTGTGGGGCTGGCTAGCGTCTGCATTTCCTACCAGCTCCTGGTGACCATGGAGTATGTTTCTAGCTGAGAGAGCCACTATGTGGAGTGCTCTTTCAGGGGTACTGGATCTGACATTTCGGAAGTTCATGGCTCCCTGGTTCTGCACCTTGTTCCCCAAATCATATACTTTCATGTCTAGGAAAGGAAATCCTACGAGTTGGCTCACTAATCTGCTTTTAAGGATGCCTAAAAATGCTGCAAACAGAAACATCTGTACATTGCCTAAGTAGCTTCTATATAAGACAGGGCCCTTCCTATAGTTCAGCAGCCCTCACAGTGTGTCAGACAAATGAACCACAGTTCAGCTAGGAAGTGGCCCATGAAGGGTGTCTTACCTCACAGTCGGTCTTTCCTCTCAGTCCCTGCCAGGGGTGCCTTATTAAGCATGCTGGTTGTCTTGCCACATGGGGACATATGGGCTTCAATTTTAACTCTGACCAGGGAGAACAAGAACCACACTGGGTTAAGGGGTCTGTTCCTAGTCTAGCCTCAGCCCCATCGAGATGATGTCCTACCTCTCTGGAACCTTTACAAGGAAGCAGATAGCACCAGAGGAGGAAGTGCTGGCACTGGAGATAGGAGACCAGGGTTTCCACTGCCACCTAATGAGTTTGGGCAAATTATTTTAAAACTGAGACTGAGTTGGGTAATCAGAAATAACAGGTGACCAAACCTGTCTTCTGGGATATGAGGACTCAGTTTGAGCTGAATGAGGTAGTGGAAATGACCAGCCCAGGCCTGGTCCCCAGAGGCAGCATGAACTAACCTACTAAATGAGCACTGTGCTAGGAGGAGATTGAGCAACCAGTTGAGTAGCCAGCTGGTGGCCCATGCTCAGCTGTCATGGTTGCTTCCTGTAGGTCAGCAGCACCCTGTGACTAGGTCTGTAGGGGAGGTGCTCTGCAAAGCAGCGCTTCATGGCCACAGGGCAGGCTTAACACCAGGAGGAGGTACCTTCAGTCTCCTCTCCTGCAGCAGCGGTCTGATCTGCTTGGTGCTCTTCCCTACCAAAGCTCATTCAGAGAAAAGGTGAATCAGAGACCCTGTCCTCTGGAAAATGTGGCTCTCAGAGAGCCCTGGATACAGAAGCAGGGAGCAAAGGTGGACACCTATTCACAGAAGCTGCCTGCTCCCACTAGCCTTATACGTTTCCACCATGTACCTGATAAGGGTTTAGTTTTTGCACATTCTTTTTGCATTTGGTCAAGTATGATAATAACTAAAAAACAAAAGCCTGCATTGTATTTTAAAAAGGATAATTGACACAAACTACCCACTTATTTAAGGAGATTCTAAGGCCCAGGTAACATTTTTGAGTTGTTGCTGAGGAATGACATTAAGAGTGGTAACTAATAATAGCAAGACAGATTACACAAATCTGCTCTCCTCTAAATGTACCTAATATACCTAAATACTCACTACTGTTTAAAATTTAATCACTGCTGTCCACAACGTTCATGACAATTCTTTTAATTAAGCTTGAAAGAAGTATAAGCTATACCAGTTTTCTGAACTTGGAGCTCCCTCTTGGCTTGTTCCAGGATGGACTTGATTGCTTCATCAGAACCCGTCTCTGAGGCTCGGATCCGTGTGGTGATGTTACCTGTGGGAAAAAGTCACAGCGATGATATCAAATCAAACTTTGGGTAACAAAATCAATGTCATATGAAGACATCACTTTGATAAATGGCCCGGAGCTGAGGTCAGTGGTATAAGGAGGTAGGTGCGGCCTCCCATGAGCCAGCACTTTCACAGCAGGTACCTGAACACCATGCAGGAGGCTTCCTGCTGAACCTGCCTCACAGTCTATGTTACTTGGCCAGCAGGACTGGCTTGCACATTCACCTGAGCTGGTATTGTTTGTGGGTTAGTACCAGGGGGGACAAATCATTTAATGCAGTCCAGAAAAGGGCAGATTTAAAGGCCATGAGTCATTTAGATGTATCTTCAACAACTGCTTTGGCTCAGGACTATATTTAGGCTCTGTACATTTATTTTTCCCAAGGAGGAAAAATGGGAAGGGAGGCAAAGGGCTGAGATTGATCCTTCATCAATCATCTGAGTATACCAGATCAAGACACACCAGGTTGAACTTAATTTTTTTTTAGGATCTATGCTACATACTCTCTTTTTGAAATTTACAAACAAGGAGAGAAGCCTGCAGGGATCTCTAAAGAACAAGAACCCATTCTTAGGGTCACATGGTGGTGTTCTGCAGAGCAGCCACGTGTGCAGACGCTCTGAAGTTACCAGGGCTCAGGGGCTGGCCCCAGTTCTTTCTGGAAGCTGTCCAGATATTTTAATTTTTCACTACCTTAATAGGAAGCGCCACGTGAAACTGTTTAAATAAGGAAACTACTGAGATGAAGCCCCATTAGAGATGAAACTCCAAGGAGTGTGGTTGGCCTGCCAAGGATATTGCAGGGAAGCTGACTGTATTCGTAATCTGTCCACTTGGGGGAACTTTGACATATTTTAGAGTTAAAAGTTTGAGGAAGCAGCAGTATCTGGTTTGACTTGGTAACTTGATTTTTCTCAGAGCAATAACTTATTTTTTCATCTGCTTCTGAGAAAACAGGCATAGTGTAATTGGAATGGGATCTGTGTTTAGGGACTAATCTCAAGGACACCTTCTTGCGCTTGGTCTGCACTCAGTAGAGTATAGGCAGCTCAGGGGGAAGGGGCTGGGCATCCTTGAACCCGTGCTTTGTTTTATACTTACTAGCTCTGTTTTTCCATCAGGTTCCAGGCCAGAATCATACTGCACAGTTTTAACCCAAAAAACACAGCTAATGACATGCTGCTTCCTAGGTTACTGACTGCAAAGAAAAACACCTGCCTGCAACATACCTTCAGACCCATTTCTTCGTTTCGGTACTTCCTGAAATAGTCTGTTCAGGCTCTGGCCTGGATTCTCTGTTGAAAAACAAGTGTGGTAAGAACAAAACAATCAGGGGAATGGTGGCGTCAACGATATGGGCTGTGTGACATGAAATCTGAGCCGCCTGATGCTAAAGAAAGGGCTCAGGGCTTCCTGTACAACTTGGAGCTCCTAGAAACTTCAGAGAGGCCCTTCCCTGGCTGACTGGTCTGCAGAGGCTGTGGCTCTACTGCAAGAGGAGATTGGACAAACCTAAACAGTGGCCTACCATCACTGCTACCAAGAGGGTCGCAGGGAGGGAGAGCTGTCTCCAAGCAAATCATCTGCCAGCCCCCAGAATGAAGCTCCCATTAATCATCCAAAGACATTCAATTTCAGTTAACATCACCATAAAACGCTCTGCGTTCTTCTTGGTGCAAATTGATGCCATTTGGAACACTGAAAGTATCCATTCTCTGTCTGGGTCTAAATTTCAAATGTACGTATGAAATGTGGCTCACAAAATTCCCTCTCTGAATCACTGCTGACTTGGCATGTGGGTCCTCTGTTCCTAAAGAGAGCAGAAATTCTTTATATTGTGGATATGGCTGACTTTTGATCTTTTTATGGAGGGTGGAGTTGGAAGGGTGTTTGAATAGATATTTCACGTATCTTACTCAAGGCAGGTGTGTTTTGCTAATAGTGCTAAAGAAAAAAAAAATCACTGATGGAACATAAATGAGTTAAGGTAACCACAAGACATCCTCTCTGAGAGGTCAGGGGAGGAGAGGAGGCAGCTTTGAAAGGCTTGCTCTGCAGAACCAGCACTGCATGGGGATGGAGCCTAGTCAATGCTGCTGCTACGGGGCTAGTTGGTACCTCAGGGCCACTTTCAACATGAGGCCAGCACTCAGGCCAGTTGGGCCCAGGGGATCCTAAACATGCCAGGATGCTGTGCATAATGCAATTCCCTCTAATTCAACACATAGCAGAGATCTTGAATTCCCTAAGTGCAAGGAACAGAACAAGTTCCCCAGGCCAGCTCCCCCAAATCTAAAGGCTGCAGCTCATGCTGCTTAATCCTTAAGCTCTAGAAATGATACAACCAAAGAGAATTTTACCTGATGTGATGTACAGATGTTTTGTCATACATGCACGTGCGTGTGCGCACACACACACACACACACAAACACGGCCTTGCGAGACACTCACACGCTGGCGCCAACCTGAGGGCGTCTCTTACCTCTCTGTCTGCCTTGGATGCTGCGCAGGGCCAAGATGTTCTGCTCATCCGAGAGGAACTGCTTCATCTTGTGGAATGGCTCTTTACCACGAACTGTCAGTTTATTCCAGGGCTTCGGCCGGGCCAGGATCTCGCTCACAGACCCTTGTGACAGTCCCAAGACATAATGTCCAAAAATGCGCTGTCCGATATTGTGCTTGATCAGCTGCTCTTTGACCTGCCGGGCGATTTCTGCAGTGTCTATCTCCTCGCCCTCAGAGATGCTCCCAGCACTTTCGGACTGGCTGGGAGATGGGGCCATGCCATTTACATCTGGGCTTTGTTGTAATGGAGTTGGGGAAGATATGGAATTTGTGCTGTAGGGACCTGTTGAAAAAATCATGCTTGTGCTTCCTGCTTCCTGCATGGCCTTGGAGTAGAAGGAGTGCATTAGCTGTCGCTGGAGGAGAGAGTTTAGTGCAAATTTTCCTGTAGAAGCCAGGGGTAGGCTGGGGCTTGCCAGGGATGAGCTGAAAAAGTCTTGACTTAACCCCGCTGGTGAGAACTGGTGTGTACCATTAGTATTGGAAGCCTGCTCCCCCGTGTTGCGGGGCAACTGAGGAGGAGGGGAGGCCGGCAAGGGTCCAGGGCGCCGACTCTCAGGTTGGTCTTTCCCTTTTCTCCTGGCTGACCCTACAAGGAAGGGCAAACAGAATGCATTATGGGGGATTCCAAAGGGGAAAAAATACCAAGATCAGAATGCAAAGTAAGTTTGCCCCGCAAAAGGGAAAAAAATAAAAGTGCAGATTTTACAAGGGCCAATGAGGTGGGTTGGTTTGTTTTTCGATTGAATTTGTCAATCAGCCAAACAAGGCCCCCCAAAACAAGCCACATGCATTCGTGTTTGCACCTTTCTTGTATGTCGCAGCCTGGAGAATCCCCTTTGACAAAGGTTCAAAGATCTGGTAACACACACAGGGAAGAGTCGACAGGTTGTGGGCTTTGTGTGGGTCCTCTAGCATTTGAGCTATCACCAGAGGGCCCTGCCTGAGGAGCAGCAAACACTGACATTTGGGGACCAGTGGGGTTGCTCCCCACACCTGCCCTGAGGCGAAGGTACCGCACCGAGTCCATGTGATTGAAGGCGCACACGTTTTAGAAATGCAACACCGTTAACGCAGTTTACCAGCTGCCAAACCAGAAGCAGTCAGTGACGCCACCGTTTTGGGATGAGCAAAGAAAGGTTAAGGACGGGGGACATGTCCCCAAGGAAAACCTGACAAAGGAAGAAAAGCACCCTGAGCCTGGGAGGGCAGGCAACCCCTGTAAGCAGCTCCCAGAGACACTCTAGAGAAGGGCCAGGCTGACTTTCTGCTCCTGGCCTGTCCACAGCACAACTACAAATGACTGGAAAGCCAACATCCTTGGGTTGTCCCTCCTGGAACCTCTGCAGACTCACTGCAGGGTGCGCGCATCTTGTCTCAGGGTGGGGGGGCAGAGCAGTGAAGAGGGGGTCACGGAACACTCAAGGTTAGTCACGGTCCTCGTCAACCGGCGGTGCTCCCGCCATGCATGAGCCCAGACTCACAAGTCACCCTCCTCTTCCTTGACCCCTGGAAGCGAACCAAGCATGGCACACGACACTTGTCCACCTACCGCTCAGGTCGCTGTTGGAGATGCGCAGTGCAGCGTTCTCGGACTGCAGTGAGCGGTTCTTCTCCAGCAGCAGCACCTCCAGGGGCTTGGCCGCATCCTAGATGGGGCAGAGGAGGACTCACCACAGGTTCATGGTGGGGTGGCCATCACCTACCACATCTCCCTGTCTGCCTGCTTTCCTGCCTCAACTTTCTGTCACAGAGAGCTGATTTCCCTCAAGGATGTTTAATGGGCTCTCGGAAAACATTCAAATTCCTTTGAAAAAGAATTAATTTCAGTTGAGATTATTTTTTCCTTCTTCTTAAGACTTGTATGGCTTCTAGACAATTATTATCTATTCTGTCCCCAAGTCTAAGCTTGGCCCTTGTTTGCCAACAGGATAGGCTGCCAAGCTACCAACCTGTGTCAGAAAGTAATTGTGGACCAATCTTTTTTTTTTTTTTTTTTTTTCCAGGAAGATGTCAGTTGCCTTTTGGGGGTTGGAAGCAAATTTCCACCAGTGATGTAAATGTTTTTAATTAAAAAAAAACTTAAAAATGAGAGGTGGGGTCTCACTATATTGCCTGGGCTGCCTTGAACTCCTGGGCTCATATGATTCTCTTGCCTCAGCCTCCCAAGTAGCTAGGAATATAGGTGCACATCATCATGCCTGGCTTTAGAATGTAATTAAACTGGCCACCAATGCTTTTCCAGCAAAGAGGTGCACAATTAATGTTCCTAAGCCTATCTATTTTTTGATCTTGAACACAACCTGAATTTTACTTTGTTTTTTGGTGTTGGAGTTGAAGCCAGGGCACTTGCACATGCTAAATGTGCTCTACTGCTGAACTGCACCCCCAATCTCTGAAGTTGTTCTTTATTCATGGTCTTAGTGCCTGCCCAAGTGAAACAATTTTACTGGAATTGAGTTAACAGTTTGCCTGTTTAATTACAGATCATTTGCTTCTGCTGGGTTAAAAGTTCTCCTAGAAGGAAGACTCAGAAGCATAAGCAAGAGGTCCCATGTAAAGGTGGAGATGGAAAAGTAGGCCCTGGGGACCAGCAGTGCTGTTGCCACTGCCCCAGGAACACGGTGAGAGAGTGTACCTGCGTCCCAGTTCCTTCTGATGGTGCAAACTCCATGGACTTCAGGATACTGAAAGAGTAAGACAGAGCAGTGATTTTCTACTTAGACCTTTAATAACAGCCACGCTAATAAGCATTAATGTTACAATTTTCTGCTCTGCAAGAGCCGAGGAACTGACAACTTTAACAACTTCCCTGGCAGGAGCTTTAATCTGATAATGTCTTTAGAATAACTAGTATTCAACTAGCAGTTGGCTAGCAAAAGATTTTTTTGCCCAGCATGTAAATCATTCCATATGGAATCACACCAGGTCTGTTCAAAGTATAATTTTAAAGTTTAATACAGACATCACATTGTTGTAAGTGGAATGTATCTGTGGAGTTTAAAAGGGAATGAAAAAGTTCTCCCAGAGATGCCAGAAAGAGGGCAACTCTCTACTATGGCCATGTACTTCTCCCTTGGTAATCAGCACCTATTCAGGGTCCAGGAGGAAGAGGCAAAGAGCAACATCCCATATAGAGATGGCTCTAACGCCAGGTAGGCAAACCATTCAGCCCTAGATCTAGGGAGAAGCTATCAAGACAGAGGAAGGATGAACACTTTTCCCCACTGTTTCTGTTTGGGCAGGCATGGGCTACAGCCCAGCTGCTCAAGGCTCTGGACAGTCTGAATAAGCCAGGAGTTGGGTGAGGTCAGGCCTCTGAAACCACTGTTTTTTCATGTTCTTTTTGCTGCTGACAGTCCTTTCTTTCTGCCAGCACCAGAGAAAATAGGGGAAATGAGTCTGTGGGGCCCTAAGGAGCTGCCCAGTGCTCCTTATTATCCCATGCAGGGAAAAATGGGGCTTGGGTGGGCTGGGTCCAGAGGGACGTTTACAGCTTGCAGGGTCCAAGTCAAGTGGACCCTCCTAGCATTTCTGTAGCTGAGATTTCAGCCTCTGGCCTTTTTGTAAGCCCACAAGATGATGCATAAAGATGCTACCACAGGTGAAGGAGCCCCCATAGCTGCTGCGCTGGTTTGGCTAAGAACAAGGACTAGCCTCTCTAGTTTGTCTTCATCTTTGCATTGTGTCTATTGTGTCAACTAACAAAAACAGGGACAAAGTAGAGGCCAATGTGGGTAAACCATGTGAGAGCCCTGGGTTTTTCATATTACCCTGGAGAGGCCAGGAGCTCTCTGGATAAACATCCTTTTTTAAAGAATAATTTACATTGTTTGCAACTATATTCTTGTCCCTCATTTGGGATTTTCTTTAGGATGATGCAATGAGAGGTTGAATGAGTCTGTACAGGTTAAGCATCCGAAATCTGAAAATCAAAACTTTTTGAGTGTCAGTATGATACCACAGTGGAAAATTCCACACTATGAAACTTTGCTTCATATAAAAAATTATTAAAAATACTGCCTAAAATTACCTTTCAGATTATGTGTAGAAGACGCGTATGAAACAAATAAATTTTGTGTTTAGATTTGGGTTCTATCCCCAATATATCACATTATGTATATGCAAATCTTCTAAAACAAAGACAAAAAAATCCCCCCAAATCCAAAATATCCCTGGTTTCCTGGAGGTGGAGCCCAAGACCAGGAGTGGCTCTAGGCAAGGCAGACTGCTGCATGAGCTGGCCCCTTTAGGTGCAGTGGGGGGGAGAGGATAGAAGAGGCCACAGAAGACCTCTCGCTAGAAGAGCTCGGGGCACAGGCCCCTACAGTGTCTGGGGGACACACTGCAGGATAACTTGGGAAGGGAAAGTACAGCCAAAGGGAGGCCAAGGACGGTCAGGCAGAAGGTCAAGGTGACTCTCATGTACTGTGGAAGAGCTGCCATGGGCCATATGGGGGAGTATCAGTGAGCCTGGAGTGTGATGGCCTTGTGGGGACAACAGCAAGGATGGGCTTGGGGGAGAAGTCAAAGGTAAGGGGCCAGGAAGCAGCTGGGCCTGAGAAGAAACTTCTAAATACGAGAAAGTAGCACTAGCTCTGGAGGATGACCAGCTTTCAGCTGTGGCCTCATGAAGGGGGAATGAGTTTGGGAGAGCGGGGTGTAAGTGCAGATGGCTCTGCTTCTCTCTGGAGTTTTTACACCTAAAAAACAGGCTCTTATTTACAATTCCTGTAATGGCAGTATTTCCCCTGACTCTGCATGCTGGGATACTTTTAAATGCACAAAGTCTCATAAAAAGGCCAAAGAATTCCAGGAGAGGTACGAGCGCAAACACTCCAGCACTGGGCAACCCGGGCACCACAGAGGCAGAATTCCAGGGCCTAGGGCTGCCCCAACACCGCTTGGCATCTGCTGGCAGATGATCTTCCCAGCATTTGAAGGGCCGCAGGCATCTCCAGACTTACTTCAGCTCTTTCTTCACCTCTTCATAGTCAGCCTGTCCTTTGAGTTTTTCTTCCAGTTGCTAAAAACAGAGAGGAATGTTAGTGGCCATGTCTGAAAAGAGGTTGATGGACTTTGTTGACCATGTTCCCTGTATGATACCCGCCCAATGTGGAGAGAGGAAACTGGCAATGTGGGTGCCACTTTTTACCTCCCTGTTCTGGCCTGGCCCATGAGTATGGTAGCACTCTGAGCAACCAAGATTTAAATGTAAAATGCAACAGAAGTGGGAGGGAAAAGCTTCACAACAGTGGCAAACAGAACAAGGGAAATTCCACTTTTCATGAAATATCAGAAAACAGCAAGTTAAAACTGAGATATTCACTTGGTACAGAGAAAGTTGTGTGTGGTACTTCATAAAAGGTGTTAGGCTTGCTGTCTACACCTTCTAGGGGACCCCTACTAAAGAGATGCATGAGCCCTTTGCTGTTGAGTGTTGCTATTAAGGCATTAAGAAGAAAGTATTTGTGTTTCCAGAGCCATGGTTACTGGTATTTGGGGAGTGCCCAGCCTGACAGAGACTTCTGATCCCCACGGTGCTCACAGGGAGTGGCAATACTTTCCCAGAGTGTGATGATGTTCTCAGGTAGTGCAGAATAGTCTGAGCTTGCTGGGAATTTCTGGTTGCCGAGAGCAGTTGGTGTAGGGCATTAGTCGAGCTGTGTCCTAAAAAGGTGCTTTTGGACTGCTTTGCTTCTGGCCTCCCCGAAAGGGGGAGTTAAACAACGCCGTTTGATGTAAACTGTGAGGACAAGGCAGGGTTTCTAAGCTCAAGGTGAATAAATCTGTGGCTTGAGCCATCAGCCCCTTCCCATCTACAGGGTTTCCAAGGGTCATTTTATGTTTTGCTTGCTCAGGTATAACTAAGACTACAGTTTAAGATGCTTCAGAACATTCTAGTGTAGGCAGGAGATACCCAGTGGCTGTCAGTCTTGATGCTCTCTGACTCTACCTGCTGTTTTGAAAATGCAAGTGCTCTGTAAATGACACTGGCCCAGCCATCTGCCACTGCCTCTGCTGGCAATTTCATGTGTGTGTATTTTCTGTGGTATAAAATTGCTCTGCCTTATTCCTTTTTAAGATCTCTTGCCAACTTTATATATTATAATGGTTTTCTCAGTCATAATCAAATGAAGGGTAGTAAGCACTCATTTTCCCACAAAAGATTCTCTGAAGGTACTCCGAAAGAAGTGATTATTTCATTCTCTTCCCTACAGTTGACTAGCGGGAAGCTCGAATGTGCCTTCCTCCCTCCCTTGCAGAACATTACCTGCAGCATGGCTGGGAGGCTAAAGAGCAGTGGGGCACAGTGATGCATGCCTGTCATCTCGGCACTCTGAGAGGTAGAGGCAGGAGGACCCCAAGTTCAAGCCCAGCCTGGGCAACTTAGTAAGACTTTGTCTCAAAATAAAAGGGGCTGGGGATGTAGTTCAGTGAGCATGAAGTCTCTGAGTTCAATCCCAGTACGGAGGGTGGGTGAGATATAGCTGAACAGTTAAAAAGTCCCCAACACCTCTTTTGGGACTGACCCTCTGTGACAGTTTTTGTATTGGGCAAACAAGCTGCAGGGAAGCTTGGTGGAAGATGCCCATGATGCCTGTCCTAACTTGTAGAGCACTTCAATCTGGCTCCAGGGCAGTGTCCTTAAAAGTGACCCACTGTGGGCGCCACATCTCAAAGCTGCATTGGAGGAGGTGTGGGCACACATCAGGTGTTTCTGCAAGTCTTGCGGCATGGGGTTGCAGTGGACCCATAGAGGCACTGCTCCTGCTGATAAATGCTAATGGGCAGGAAAAGAGCTAAGGCCAATGCCACAGAAGCAGGATCTGGGGACTGGGATATCTTCCCAAAAAATACACAGACAGCCCTGAATTTCTGTGGTTAGATCAATAATGTTGTGAAAGCAATACTCAAGTAGAAACTGTGCACTGAATTTTGAATTTGGCCCCTTTCCTGGGCTAGTGATTTACCGGATCCTCCCTACCAATGTGGGCAGCAGTAGCAGCCAGTCGCAACCCTGTCACTGCTGCAATCACTGATATGTGCCATGTGCTATGCTGCTGAGCCATGATGTGTGAGAGGTTAGGTGTCTTACATGCAGTTTTCAGAGACAGATGTGTGTGAGCGTGGGTGATGAACCTAGTGTCTTGAGTATGAAAAATCAAGCTGCTCATTTAAAAGTACGGGGAGACCAAACTAAGGTGAGTTTTCAAAGGGCAGTGGCAAGCACATGTGGGATCATGCCAAACGCCACTCACCATGACTGTGTCTATGCTGCAGTCAAGTTTACCTGTGGTTTTGGGAACCTTGAAGGTATTCAGACACTTCCTCAACCGCTAGAGAAATTGTCTCTTTGAAGTCTTAAAAATCTCAGCTAAAGCTTAAATCATAAATTAAAGGTACAATAGCAGGTATTTTGGTATACAGCAAGCTAGGACACTCAATTTATAAAAGACACCTATCTTTCTCAGGTTGGAAAACATGGTCCTTGGTGTTTGAAGGCTGCAAGCACTACACCTCTGGCATGTTAAACCAATGCCAAGATCTGTGGAAAGGCTGGGTTTTTGGGGCCACCCTGGGGCGAGGAGGAGTCTGTAATACAGAAGAGAAGGTTGACTCTCAGCAGTGCCACCAGAGACCTACTGGTTCAGGCTGGGGTGGACCCCTTGGCCTCCCTGGATCCCTGCTCGGCCTCTAGTTAATACTGACTCTGGGGTCCAGGCCCAGGCAGCTTGTACCTCCTTATCTATGAATGGGGAGCCTCCCCCGACATATACATCTATCCTATGGTTCCTTGGGGAGAGGCAGCAATTATGTAAATTTGGGATCTGCTGATACTGGGCTTGGGGGAAGAACTCAGGGATACCCTGATGCCTAGACAGTGAGGAAGTCCCAGTTGTGGATCCACTGAAACACTGTGGTGGGCATTCTACACATGCTGAAGGGATGCTGAGAACACAGGGTAGAAAGAGAGCCCCCAAAGGCCAGAGGATGGAGGACTGATGGCTGTACTGAAGGGCCCCCATGAAGTGGGGTACTCATTCTCTTCCATGAAGTGGGGTCCTGGTGCCCAAACAGACTGAGCTAGAGCAGACAGAGTAACAGGGCTATCAAGCATGGCTCTGGCAGAGAGGAAGGACACTGCACAGCAAACACGACATGGGCGGCCTCTACCTTCCAGAAGCTGTGCCCTGGGCACTGGGTTGACAGGAGCCAACTCTTTGGAGAATGGAATAATCACAGACCCCAGGAGGGACCTGATTTAATATTTAAGTTGCCATGTGGCATATCATGTATGCTGTTATGCTGGTGACAGTGTGAACTCTTTGGATTCACTGAATGAATGGGTCTAGTGGATTCACCATGGGTGCCCATGCACAATTAGCTCCCTTAAAGCACTGCCAGAGATGCCAAATGATTTACAGGGATTTTATAGGAACCTGCTTATGACCTCCTCCTGCCAATGAAAGGCCACCTCATTTCTCACCCTACCTCACTCTGCCTAGCAGACTGGCTTCTGCTTCCCATTCAGGGGCCATGCTGGCCTTTCTTCTTGCTCCTTCCTCTCCTGGACCTACTCATGGTATCTTTGAGGCTCAACCAGAACAATGCTGTTACTACAGCTGTGTGTCCTGGGCTCTGTATGACCCTGGATGCCTGACGTCATTACCTGTATGGGCCACTCTGGAGGTCAGGTTCCCGTTCCTTCTGTCCACTGGCTCACAGTGACAATAGGGTGGTAGGACATGTAGAGGTCACAGTTTCAGGCCAGGGCTGTGCCTCTTGCTATAGCTACAGGCTGGACACCTCTGGGCCTGATGTCACTGGAGACCACGATGATCACCCTGCCCACTCACAGAGTGAGTGTCACTAGAGCTTTATGCACTGAGAGTTCTGTGCCTGCTGGTTAGGACCTCGTGGAAGGCAGCATAAGCACAGAGTGACAGCAGGCCTCAGAGCCACACTGCTGGGAGATACAAGTTATGGGATCCTGAGGTGGGGCCTCAGGGAATATGGAACCCATCTGGAATTCAAGGGCTTACAGGAGGCGAAGAAGTGGTTATTAGTCTTTTTCCTGCCCCTATAGCTAAGGAACACAGCAAATTCCCATAGTAGCTTAACACAACCTATCAGAGTCTCAGGAGGTGGGGGCCAGCAGGTAGAATCATGTGAGTTTGCAAAAAGACTCCCAGGTGATTCTAACACACTTGCTTACTTGCCCAGTGCAGTGGGAAGTACTAATCTTTAAGACATCTTTAGAAAATATAATTTCTCTCTATAGGAGATTGGCATTCTTTTAGCTGGCCTTTCTTATAAATACCTATTTTAAATTGAAGCTATTGGTAGCATTATTTTCTATGCCATGGTGAGTATAATGCAGGTGACTGACTAATTATACTGCCTCTATATTCAAGTGTTGCGGGAGAAAACCAAAGAACAGAGAGTTATCAAAAATAGCAGCCCTGTCATTGCAGTTGGGTTATTTCATTAATTATGAACATGGAATTATCCTCCATGAATGGCACTGTGCTTGAGCACTTGTCACATTAGGCAGGAAGAAACATCTCCACTTGGAAGCCTGCCTCCCTGTCTATTTAAAGGTTAGAGAATGCAGCATGAGGTGTGGATAGTACTGTGCTGACTGTGAACTTCGTTTGAAAGACTGGAACCCTGGCCAGGGAAGACTGGCAACTGTGCAACAATCAGGACGACAGGTCGATTATCCAGGTGAAAGGAAGAGATCTTGGACAGTTTCAACTGGCTAGGGACAGCAAACCAATTAATCAGTCCTCTAGTTACAGACAATACCACTACAGGGTATTAACAGAAAAAACCCAATCATCTCAAAAGTCAAGATTTCTATCCATGAAGCCTTTGCCTGTGGAAGATGTGTGCTGCCCAAATAACTATCACCAAACACACGGGCATTTGTCTCAAAGGCTGACTGCTAGGTATGGTCCTCATGCCTACAATCCAGCTATTTGGCAGGCTGAGGCAGGAGGAGCACAAATTCAAGCATAGCCTGGGCAACTTGGTGAGACTCTATTTCAAAATCAAAACATAAAGAAGGATCAGTCTGTAGTGCTGAAAACAACAACAACAATAACAACAGAGAACCCACTGTCAAATGCGCATGGCAAAATCACCCACAATTCCAAAGAGCTGAGAGTCAAACAGAAAGGTATGACATCCTTTATCAAATAGCACCTCTATTTCACCTACCATTATATTTCCTGCAAACACCTAAAGCTGGAATATATTGCTCAAAGAAGAAAAAAAAGAGGAGGGACAGGAAAGGAGTCGGGAGAGGAAGAGGCAAGCAGGGTTAAGATAAGCCCTAACTCCCTTCCCTGTAAAAGCATCAGGTTGCTGGTGTGACAGATCTCATTCATAAAACAGTTCCCTAAAAGCTGTATCCCGGTTTAGTTTAGATTGGAGACTATCAATCACATACACTGGAATAAAACAAAGGCCCTAAGAAGGTATCTCATTTAATTAACCTTATTCCTTTGGGGTGTGGGAGGTAGGCTTGCTCATTTGGGGGAACCTAGGGCCTTTTGTGAGTGAGTTTGCTATTAGAGAAATCTTTACTCCTGGAGACAAGGGGTTAAGATAATTAAAATCAGAGAAGTCTTGTTACTAGAGGACATGTTTTGATTATTAGATCAGATGAAGATAAGGGAGCAATGATTTTGGAAGAAGTATTGCTGAATTGTTTCATTAACTGCACAGTATTAAAGAATTCCCCCAAGATACGGATAAAGAACATTAATTTGTGAAACTGTGTTTCATTTTTTGTGAAGGCAAACATTAAAACCTTAACTGATTTAGAAGAAATTGCTCCATAATGAAAAATAGAAAGTCTACAGCTTTGGTCACATGCAGCCATATGCAGGATGTATTTGAGTCATGCACTTTAACTGTGACAAAGGGGAGAAAGGCAGATTATCTAATAATAATGCCATCACAAGGGTCAGAAATGGCTGTAACATGAGAAAATTAGGTTTAATCTAGAGATAAAAAATGAGTCCTGGTACTCTCTGGGCAAGCTGATGAGGAAGGAAGAAATGCTGGAGAAACAATGGTCATTGTTAATGGGGGATGTGACAAGCTTCCTACCATCTTCCCAAACCTATAGGACTTTCTCCTCAGAGGCATTCTGGCACCCAGCAGTTTTTCAGAGAGTGGATAAAATTCATCCCAAGGAGACAAAGAAAAAACTAGAAGGGAAGGCTGCAGGTGCCACTGGTATCAGTGACAGGCTTGCTGAAAATTTAATTCTAGATTTATGTTTGAGTATGTGTTGAAAAGAAAATTGCCATTAAAAATATCAAAATCGGGGCTGGGGATTTAGCTCAGCGGCAAAAGCGCCTGCCTGGCAAGCGCAAGGTCGTGAGTTCGGTTCCCGGTACTGGAGAAAAACAAAAAAAAATCAAAATGGCCTTATTCACACTTTAAAATGACTTTATATCAGAAAAAGTTTCTCTCTTTTTTCCTTATTTTGTGATGAGACTTTTGCTATGTTGCTCAGGCTGTCCTTAGACTCAAAGCAATCCTCCAGTCTTAGTCTCCCCAGTAGCTAGGACTACAGGTATCCATTAATGTTCCTGGGTTCTTTACATTTTTACAATTAACCTTGATCTATATCATTAAGTGTACACTGGTTCACTGATGCATGGAACAAGGAGTTATGCGGCAGGAACAGGAATGGCCCTAGGTGAGCCCCCTTTGGGCTGAGCCAGAGACCCCTACATCCCTTTCTGGCCCTGCCTCATCTGCCAAAGAAGATACCTCCCAAGAGCCCTCATGGCACTGACACCCAGCAATCTAGGTTCCACAACTGTCTTCAAATTACATTTGATTTGTGGGACTGCAAGTACTTCCAAATATAATTACTATTATTTAGTATATGGAAAGGCTCTGGCTTCTGCTAGGCTGCCTAGCCAGTCTGTCTGGGAGGGGAGGCCTGGGACACAGGACATGGGAATGTCTTTGAACTCAGGGACTCAGACAGGATCTCAGGGCTTTTGTGTAGCTCAGATACAGGGAAAGGCGTAGCTCTAGTGCACTGCGTCCTTCCATCCACAGATAGCCAGAGGGGCCCACAGAGCTAAGGGCACATCTACACCAACAGTCTGGCTGAGACACACGCCAAGCCCCACTCAGAAGTGCAGGTGCATCGGGCGCCGCCTCTGGAGTTCATAGGTGGTAAGGCAGGTGGGTATATGCACCAGGGGACTCCTCGCCTGCAGGCAAGGAGTGGCCACAGAGAGGGACATAGTGTGCATGCCAGAGCTGGCAGTGGGTTCAGCTCCAGTCTCCCACCCTAGGCTCTGGGTCTTTGCTTTGAGCTGCTCGGCAGAGGAGTTTGCTGTCAGTTCTCGCAAGGCAGAGGATGTGTGTGTGGATGTGAATGTGGGTCCAGCCTGCTGGTTCCCTTGTGCCCCATGCCCTGGTGGTGTCCTTACTTTGAGTGTGCTGTTCTTGGCGCTCAGCTGCTGCTCGAGCTGGGAGATCTGGCTGGCTGAGTTTTCACGCAGCTTTGTGAGGCTGGCCTGGAGCCTCTGCACATCCTCCACCAGCTGGGCAATCTCCCGCTCTTTGGCGGCCAACTCAACTTCCAGGCTGGAGCGAGTCAGCACCTCTATGGCCTGCTCCTGGGGAAGACAAGAGAAATGACAAAACTATACTGGTTTGGGGGTGAGTTTGGGGTTCTCTATGAAGGCAGAAACCACCCAGACCTCAGGATGTGCATGGTAAGCTCAGGGGGAGACAGGACTTCTTGCTTTTGCTTGGATGTAACCTGCTGTGTGTCCTCCCCACACCACCTTCTCATTTACACAGTTAGTTGCCACCTGGACTTGTTTGTTGGACAAATACTTTCTGAGTATCCACTGAGTCCCAGGCACATGGCAAAAGTCCCAGTCTTTACGGGCCTCACTGTCCAGCGGAGGATAGGGCTGGGTTGGTGAGGACCCTCAGACAGACTGAATACTAACGAGAAGTCTGTTAGGTGGTGAAAGTGCTATAAAAAAAGCAAAACAAAAAGGGCACAAGAATCAAACCTGGGAGAGGCCTGAGGCTTTAACGAGGTGGCCAGAAGTCTCACTGAGATGGGGGACATGTGAGCAGAGTTCTGAAGGAGGTAGGTGGGGAAGAACACTCCTGCTAGGGAAAGGCAAGTGAAGTGGCTCAGAGGAAGGCACCTAGAGTCAAACACTCAAATTTTCTATCCAAGCGTGGGAGTCAATATTCTTTAGATTCATTACTAAATTATTTAGAAGCTGAGGTCTTGGTTTGACAAATTGATCCTTAGAGTTCAGTATTGCCCCCAGAGTTAAAAGACATGGCAGATGCATACTTGGACTCCTTTGTGTAGAAACTCTTATTACAATTGAGTTGTTAAATAAAAAAATTTTCTTCCTCCCAAAAATGTTGTGTTGAAAATTTGCATCACAGAGAAAAAAGGTATTAAAAAAAAAGGCAAATCTCTAATTCTGTTCCCAAGACTCAAGCAGTACTTTTGTAAGCTTTAGAAGTAATCACAATTCTGGTATAATCCTGGAAGGTTTTCTGTAGAGCAGATGTGCTTCTGGGTGTGACTGACAGGGACAGGGGGCTGGGGCTCCACGGCTTCTGTGATGGCAGAGACCTAAGAGCTGGCTCAGAGTGTAGCATGGAATGCCACCAGCCTTGCCTGTGGCCCTCTTTGAAGTGTACTGCTTCCTGCCTTGGTCTTGCCTGTGCCCAGGCGGAAGCAGGTGGCAGCCATTGCCCTGCTGGCCACACAACCAGGCACCCAGGAAAATGACCTTTCACATCTCCCTCCTGAGAAATCTATGCTTTTACCATTTGAGACAGGAAAGTTTTGTGTGCCAAGGAGTGATCCTTTTCTGTTTCTTGGATCTGTATGATATTATAAAATAGGCTGCTCTTTCCTGGCCTCTGGTGGATGGATGTGTAGCTCTGGGGCCCTGAGCATCTCCCGTTGGCTTATTTACAAGGCACAGCCTGTCCAGACCATCCTGTCCGGCATGTGCCCCAGGGCTGCTGCCAAGTGCAGCAACATACCAGTGCACAGTGAGGCAAGAACAGGAATGGAGAGTTGCTGTGAGAAACCCCAGAACCACTCAAAATTTTGGTGACATTTTTATTGCCCTTTATAAAACTATCAGTCTGCAACAGAATGAAAATTTAAGAACCAAAAAAGTTCTTCTCCCTGGAGTTTAGAAAGCACCATTCTAGATGACACTGGTCTGCCTAGCGTGGCCCCTAGGAGGCTCTGAAGCAGGAGGGAACATAATGGAAATGACACTGGGGGAGATCAGTCTGATGGTGGATGTAGACTGAATCTAGTCATCTAATAGAACAAGTTTCATCCATCTTCCATCCTGAGGATGCCAGCCACTGACAATGCTTCAAGGGCTCTTAGGCAGTATGTAAAACAATCCCAATGATGGGCCTTGCAATGGTCAAAAACAAGTTCAAGTTCAAGTATAAGGGACAAGTGACTCAAATAACATGGCTAAAAACAGCAGCTCTTCATGCTGGCCCTGGACTAAGGGTGACCTGGGAGTAGGCCATCCTCAGAGGGCCATCTGCTCCATTCCCAAGGCCCAGTCTGGCCTAGCCACACAGGATCTTAGGCTCATCATCTGACTCAGGAACTCAAGCCACAGAGTCTTCATTCATAATATAGCAAAAAGCATTGCTGAGATCAGATAATATATCCAAGTCAATCTAGGACGCACCAAAACAAAAAATGCCCTGTCCTACCCCAGCCACGGCTCACCTCCATCTCACATACACCTGGTGGTCTTGTTGTACAGACACAATAAAAAACTAAGAAAGAAATGGAGAAGAGCCCGTGGAATGGCCAGGGGACTGTGACAGTGAGAGGCCTGAAATGGGATTAGAAAGAGGTGGCCTCTCAGCACAGGGAAGGCAGGCTGAGAGAGATACTGTCATCACCTATGTGGCAATGTGGACAAGGAGAGGGAAAGGCAGCCTCAGACACTTCAGTGGGTGGGTTTAAGCAGTTAAGGTGCCACTGGGCTTGTGACTGAAAAGTGCCATCCTTCACCTGTCCCAGGCTCTACCTGGAGGCATCAGAATTCTGTGGGACTCTAGAAGTTGGCCAGGTTCTGGGCCTCATCCTGAGGTAGGGTCTCAGAGTGGGGGATGGGGACAGAGGGAGTCCCACAATGATCCTGATAGGGCTGAGAGTCAGTATGATGGTTGAGGTGCCTGTGTGTGACATGACAACAGGGCTCTGTGGCACCACCACTGATGAACATGGTTTTCAAGTCTGTGCGGCATGGAAACCCCTAGGTTCCAGGGTCCTACATGCCCTGTGGGCCCTGGGAGCTCAGGAGTTGGGAGAGGACATGCAAAAATGCTTAGCAGAGTTTAAAAATATTGTAAAAATTATAGGTGGTACAGTAATTTCAGGTGGTAGAGTAAGCCCCTAAAGGGAAAGTTCCTGATGTGTTCTGCCATGTTTTGTCCCTTTGAGCCCACTTGCCTTCCTGTCCTGAGACCTGCAGGTGGGAATCAGTTCCTACTGCTTGCCTGTCTCCTTACTACTCCTGCAGAGACCAGAACACAGACTCCCCTCCACTACGTGAATGTGTGGTCTTGTGTCCCACAGCCTCTTCCAGGTTAACCATGAATGAGAGGCAGGAGCACTGAGGCCAAGATATTCCATCACAACATGTTGGTGACAGTGAGCCAGGACCTGGCTGAGGAGGAGACTAGCTGGAGTCTGATGCTCTTCCAGTTTTATTGCCTGCACTGGGGGTGAGATGAAGAAATGGGAACCTGGCCTTATTTCTCTTCCTTGGTATACCTCTGTTCCTTCCCCATCACTGGCAGGATACATGGTATTTCCTGATATTACGGTTTGTTGGGGCTCCAAAGGGGGCAGGGCCAATGGACCAGAACCCTGAGCTGGTCTATGCACACACCCATGAGGGCCTTTGTACACCCTGGCTCACAGGCTGCTGCAGAAGAGCACTGGGATGCTAGAGGGGAGTGAGGGGCCTGTGGAACAGTCAAGCTGAGGTTCACAATCTGACTTGATAGGTTTCTAGCTGTGTGACCCATGGTAAGTTACTCAGCTCCTCTGAGCCTTGGTTTCCATACCTGTGAAATAGTGGTAATAACCAAACTTCCCTGTAATGACTGTGCTGTCGGAGGCAGAAACAGACTCACCATGGAAAGCTATGCACAGCTGTACCCTGAGCAGGAGCTTGCTGAGTGACTGCTCGCCTTCTAGATTTGAGGTTCCATTGAGACACCAAGTGGATGGGCTGTGGCTTTTGCTAGATCTATGGATGCTACTGTTCCTCGGCTGAGTTCTGCCAGCCAAACCCAGCAGCCCACTTTTCCGCTGGCCTGTTTTCTCTGATGGTGGGAGCTGGCGCTTACAGCTATGTGAGGAGGCACAGCCAGCAAGCCCGGCAGGAGGCTGTGGGAAGATGGAAGCAGTGCCAGGCAAACACGGCACTTAGCCTCTGATGAAGTGTGTAACCCCCCAGGACCCGCAACTGATTCTATCTGCAAAAACACTCACTTCCTGCTGAAATGTTTGGGTTGTCACAGGCCAGGATGGGGCCAGAATTTTTCAGTCCAAACATTTAGCTCGGGAGCCCTGTTAGACGCATTAGAATGGATGGTTTCCTCCTAAGGATCCCAGAGAGGCAGAGATGCTGCTGGCCCTAGCCCCGGGGCTTCCCCTCATCCTGGCTCTAAATCCAGGGCATCTAAGCTTAGATGAGGGGATAAGAATAGAGCTGAGGGGTCATTTCATTTATAAGTATCCAGAGCAGTGAGTACAAAGGGTGCTTTGGCCCCTTAAATGGAAACCTGTGCTCTCTACCCTAAACATTTAAACCCTACATTTAATGTTAAACAAAGAAAGCTAAAATCTATTCCTTTTGGTTTTTGAGATAGGGTCTTGCTATGTAGCCCAGGTTGGGCTACTCTCAATTCTCTTGCCTCAGCCTCCTGCATGCTGAGACAGATAGTATGTACCACACCTGGCTAAAATATATTCTTTTCTGAGGTCCTTTTTTTTTGTGCGGGGGGGGGCGGTACTGGGAATTGAACTCAGGACCTTGCACTTGCCAGGTAGGTGCTTATGCCACTGAGCTATGTCCCCGGCTTTTATGAGGTCCTGTCATAGACACCTGGCTCCATGTTCATTTCTGGCAATCACTTAAAAGCCCTGGGCTGTGGGATCTGAGGGCCCAGCCTAGTCCTGGGTGTTCACTGCCTGCCTGTGCTCTGGGCCAGGTGCTCACATTCACAGGGGTTCAGTCTCCTGATCTACATAAAGAAATAATAATACCTGTTTCAGAGACAAGGTGGATTAATGGATGTTAAAGTAACAGATGAACTTATCACTGAAGTGAGTTTTCCTGATGAGACTCTACTCTCCTGCAAAGGGCCTTGTCTTGTTTCTTGTTGCCCCCACTGTCCCTATAAGCCAGGTCTGCAGCAAAGGGTCTGTCAGAGCTGAAGGGACGCTAGCTAGAGGCTTATTTAACCTTTATTTTACACACAGGGGAACTGAGGTTCCTGGGGAGATGGTGCCAGCTACAGGAAGAGGAGCTGCTATTCATTATACACCAGGCCTATGCTACATGCTTTGGGCATAACCTCCTGAACCCCCGTGAAACTCCTTTCTATAGGAGGAACTGTAACCCAGGAAGACAAACTACTTGCTCTAGCTGAGACATATAGAGCTGGATCTGAACCGTGGACCTTGGCTACTATGCTGTCCCATGTTATGGCGCAGTGTTGAGAGGCTCTCGGAACTGGTTGTTCAAAGCCATCTTGATCGAACTGGGGAAGCTCTGGCTACGAGCTGTTTTTGTTAATTTTAGAAAAGGTGGCAAAAGTTCTTGTTCTTCCAGGATGCTCATGCTTGGGCCGATTCCAGCAATCCTGGCTGTGATGGCATGACTTCTGTGTTCCCAACTCACTGTAGACTGCTCCTCTCCTCTGAAAGGACACCCAGGAGAAGAGCAAATGCTCCACTTCCCTGTGGAATTCGGGGGAAGCTCTTGTTTCAGACCTCCTCCTTTTCTCATCTCCAGGCCAGGCCATGTCGCAGCCCCAAGTTGGTGAATACATTTCCCACTGGTTAAAATGGTATTCTAGAAAGCAGCATCAAAATCCTAAGGCAGAAAACAGCCATAACACAAGGGTACAGATGCCCTGCATGCCTGGGCTACCCACCACATCCGGTGCCTTCTGGATCTGTGAGGCCAGCTGGAGGGAGTGGTTGGCCGATGAGAGCTGCTCCCTTAAGGTCTCTGCCTCTCTCTGTGCCACCTCTGCCCTCTGAAGGAAATGAAAAGGGGTGAAGAGAGAAAGTACATTTGGTTTAACAACTGACAATTATTACAAGAACATTCATCAATTCATGCCTGACTGACTATAATTGATTTTCCTAAACACTCAACCTAATAAATGCTTGAGAAAAAACATAGAATGTGATGGATTTTTATTTTAAACAGTACAAGGAAGAAATAATTGAGCGATTATGACAGTAATTTAACGCTAGGAGCAAGGAATCCCCTGCTGATACTAATGCTCCAGCCCACTGAATTTCCCAGACTGAATAAATACCAGTGGAAATAGAGTCTTCTGATTCAATTTCTTTCTATTCTCATAGACCGAGAAGATTTTATTGCAGGATTACTCCTGGGAGTAATTCTCATGGGTAAACAGTGAATTAAAGGCACTTTGGCCATTCTCTCCCTAAACACAGGCACAATGTTGTGGTTGTTTTCCTCCAGCAACATTTCCATAAACGGATGGGGTGTAAATGCCACTTTCTTTTGTAAGGGCCAGACTTATTTCAGCATGTTTAACCCTTCCCCAGGCGACGTTTTTGAATGTTGCCACTGTCATGTTCAGCCAGCCAGGCCAATCTGTGGCTAAGGTGTGTGGGTGACCCAGGCCAGCTTGGAGGGCTGAGCAGAAATGACTGCCAATCTTTCACCATAATTTGGTGAAATTATGACACCAACCTTTCACCTGTGATTTCTGGATGAGGAAGCCACAGCCACTTCAAACCCAGACTTCCTAATGTTCATTCCAGTGCCTGAAACTTGAAAGGGCATCTGGGAATACAGAAACCAGGGCCAGGTACCTAAGATTACTGCACTTTCACCTACCCATCTGTAAAATGGGAACCTTGTCCTTCTCAGTGCCCTGGTAAGGATGGATATTCAGAGGTTCACAGTACACCTGACTTCTGCCCGAGGAAGTTTGTCAATGGACCTTGTCCTGGGACAATTATGACTGGGACAGAATTCTAAGGCAAGTAGGAAAGGGCAGCAAATGACATCGGGCACATGGATGGAAGGTGACATGCTACTTCTTTGTACGTTTTAAAAATTACAATTTGCTAACAGAAAAGATTAATAAGAATAGCCTGGCAGGGCAAGGCTGTTTTGCATGTTTTCTTATTTTGTGGTGTGACAACTGGTGTCTACTAATTGCTAAAAAATAACTCACAGAGAGAAACAAGAAGTTAGTTTGCCCTGGTACTCACTGACCATCGTATGAGGAAGAGGTTTTGGCAGCTTTATGTAATTTGGTGGCAGTGGTGGCCGCATTAAACCTGTCTGCTGTGCACATAGACAAATTAGGGTCTCCCCGAGGGCAGTTGGGCCCGCCCCCGGTGGGGCTGGCAGCCACCTGCCCTGCTTCTCAGGAGCTCTGGAAATGTCACTACATCTAATTCATGAGTTGCCCGGCCAGCTCGTGTATTTTCAAACAGCCTGTCCCAGAGTCTCTGCTCCAAATGGAATCTAGAACCAGCTGTCAGGAAAGCTGGCAATGAAAACAGTGTGGTGAGGATGGCAAGAGTAATTTTTGGTTTATGCTAACTGCTCAACTATTATGGTTGTAGAAAAAATTTCTCTTTGACAAAAAAGACTTCTTTTAGTTTATTTCCAAGTTTTTTTCATAACCATGACAAATGACTGAAAAGTGTATTCTTCCCTTGCTAGTCAGCTAAACCCCTGTGTACAACAATCCCCATGACTCTGCCAGGAATGAAGTGTACTGTGACATATTTCCTAGTCTTTCTGATTAGGAAAAATATTTCTTCGTCTATTGGAGAAGCTGTCATGGTAGCAGCCAACAGACGGCATCACTACCCTGATGTGTCACACTGGCTCTGAAGTATTCTAGAACTCCCAGAGCTGAGGTGGCAAGTTCTTGAGGTGTCCCCAGAAGCCTATGAGGATGTTGGGGTGAGGGTAGGGGCCCAGAGTGCTGTCTTATCAAAGGCAGAAGGCTCCCAGAATAGAGATCTATCTCAACATCCCCAGAAGTCACTGGCATTCAGTCCCCAAATTCACATACAGGGTTACTCTTGGCCTATTCCTTGGTAGTCAGTGCCTTTTATTACATCTGGCTTTTTTTTTAATTTTTTTTTTTTTGTACCAGGAATTGAACTTAGGCTTGCCAGGCAAGAGCTTATGCCAATGAGCTACATCCCTGGCCCTATTACATCTGGCTTGACTTGGTTATTTTAGTGCAACTTTTTGATATTTATTTAGGATTTATAACCTAAGCATAGTTTTTAAAAAACCCAACAGTCCATCAAAAAAGAATTGAGTTGGTTTGTGCAGTTAAACAGGCATAAACCAGAAAAGTATTAAAAATAAGAGCAATTTTTAAAAAAGCGAGCAGGGTACAGGGAAATAGTGCTGTGCAACTGGGATGGATGTATTTCTGTAGCTGATAACTAAATTTAGCTTGCTGTTGGCAGCTGGGGCAGAAACGGGTGCTGAGCCACATCAGTCCCACCTGTTTGGAGGTCACAGCCCTTTCAGAGTTGCCGCCTATGCTGCCGACGACCTGTGGACATGGCAGGTTGGGACTAGAACAAGTGGTCCCCACAAACCCTGCTGGTCACAGACCAAGGTGTATATTCAAGAAAGCAGGATGAGAGATTTTCCTACCTCTGCCTGCCACAAAAGCCCTCCATGTGTGGCCTGAGACTGACCTGGAGAAGCCTAGGATCTTAGGAGGCCTATGAAACAACCCAGCAGGCATGTCCTGGCCTCGTGGGAATGGCCCTGGACTCAGCTTGAAGCCAGCACATCCTCAGCTTAGCAGGTACCCAAAAAGACTTGGATGAACAGGTCTTAAAAGCAGCTCTGCCCTTGTACTGTGGATGGTAAAACCCTGGACTGGGGGATCAGGGATTTGCTGAGCCTATGTGGTCAGAGGTGCCTCAACTGGGATTCCAGTTTCATGGTCCCAACTCCCTATGAGCACACAAACACCTTGGCTGAGTAACCCCACAAATGGGTGAGCATGTTTAGCAAATCTTTGTGTTTCTTTCTGTGCTAAGCTCCTTCTCCTTGGTGAGGCTAAACTCTGGTTTCCAACCCCAACCTCAGCCTAAAGGGTCTTCTATTAGGGCAATCTTGCACCACAAAAATCAGGGAGGTAAATAGAAGGACAGCAGGCTGAAATGACTTCCTCCTGGTCTGTGTCATAGCATTGGGCAACTCAATTCAGAGCTAGTAGAGAGGCTGCAGGGATAAGGAAGCCCCTGGGCACAGTTCCGCATGGCTTCTTTTTGTCATGAAGTCTCAAAAGTTCTAAGCATTTATGGTCACCAACTGAGATGGTGAATATTAATGCAAGTATCTAAAGGCTGACCAAACATGTGTCAAGGACACTCCTATTTAACTGACAGCTGCTGTCTGCTCATCTGCTGCTCCCTATGAAAAACACAAGCACCTGCTAATACAACAGGGCTACCAATCTTCGTAGAACCTGACTACAAACCTTGTGCAAAAATCCTGTGCCAGGCCAATTAACTAGGAAATTACTCCTTCTGGGGGGTCTCCCTCATGGGGTGGTGGCTAGTCCAGGTGATGTGTGGCTTCACTGGGGCTGGGCCTAAATGGCCTCCTCTCAGGCCCTGTTGGCTTTTCCTGTCCTGTCATTATAGCTGTTTATGCCACTCAGGTTTAACCAGATGATTCCACCCCTTCCCCCACCACAAATCTGAAGTCTTGCTCCTGCCCACAATCCCCACACTGCTCTCAGGCTGGTCCCTCCCCAACCTGCCGGACTTGCCTGTCAATCAACATGCCAGCTCCTCTGGTGGCTTGGGACCCTGCCCTGCCTACCTCCTAGGAGCTTTCTTCCAACTTTGAGGTCCAGGTCAGTGTTGCAGCTTCTGACTTTCCTTTAGATTTTTCACTGAGTTTCCACTTGTCTTCCCCCAGGGATAATACTTTTAACATCGTGGGGCTTGTATCTTTCCTACTTGGATGTTTTCTTATACAAGTAGGTTCACCTTCATTCTCTAAAATCCTAGACTTCAGGATCAGAAGGAATCTGTTGCATTATCTCGTTCAATCCCTCCTGTCCACTCCCTGCCTGAGTCCCCAGCTCATACTCTCTCAAGGGTTGACTCAAACCTGCTAGCAAAACTCTGATGACAGGGACCCCATTCTCTCCAGAGTGCACCTTCAGAGGGAGCCAGGCGGAGGAGGAGCTTGCCCACACTGGGAGACTACTTCCTCCTGCCAGCTTCCATGCCTGGCCATGGTCCTTGTGTGTCTCAGCAAAAGCCTAGCCCTGTCTTCTCATTGGCCTTGAGAACTATAAGTAGAGAAATCACAAGATCCCCACTTAAAACCATCCCCTGCCCAATCTTTTAGCATCCCATATTACTGAAACAACAACAACAACAACAACAGGGTTTTTCAAGACACAGTCTTGCTATAGGTCAGGCTGGACTCAAACTCACAGTGATTTTTTTTTGCCTCAGCCTCCCCAGTCCTGGGACTAGAAGTGTGCACCATCATGCCTGGCTGAAATTATTATTCTTGTGGTGCCTTTTTTCTCTGCTTCCCAAAAATCAGTAACATTCCCAAACCTTTAGTTTCTTTTGTGTCAGGTCCATTCTCTATCCTGGCTTTAACCTCTGAATGTATTCCAGGAAACTGTTTTCCTTACAGTGTGGCTTCCAGCCTAAAATGGAACTTCCTGGCACAGATGAACTGCTGCAGGAGAGTAGAATCACTAAGTCTTTCATGGCAGAAACATCATTTCTCCTGATGCAGACATATGAGGCCATTAATGGAGACATAGTGGTTGGTAAGAATGTTACTCACCTCCCCAAAGCCAGTGTTTCCCCAGGGCTAGCTCCCACGAGCCTCCTCACTACAAGTCTGTCCTTCCTTAGCAGCTGCAGGACTAACATATATCTATGGAATTACTCGTTTCCTGGGCAATTTTACTTTCAGTCCTTAAAGCAATCCTGCAAAGGTAGTACTAGCTATCAAATCCTTCCCACTCTTCCTTGCAGAAAATGTTTAAAGTTTTGAACGGTGTTAAGGTACAGCATAAAATGGAACATCTTAACAATTGTTACGTGTACAGTGTAGTAATGTCAAGTCCAGCCACACCACAGTGTAACGTCCTATCTTGTAGAAATGAATGCCCACACTCATTAACACGTCCTGCTCCTCCTCCCCTGGCCCTGGCAACCTTCACTGGACTCCATGCTTCCAACATGCTGACTTCTCTGGACACTACATGTAGGGGCAGTCACATAGCACATGTCTTTTTGTGACTGCTTTAGTTCCCTTAGCAAAATGTACTTAAGCTTTGTGTTTCTCTTTCATTTATATTTAAGATTAAGAAATTTCAGAGGTTAAGAAACTGGTCAAGGCCATACAGCCAGGAAATCTGAGTTAGGAACTGAACCAAGTGTCATTCTGGAGTTGGCACCTTTCTCTATGGTGCTGCCCAATATCACCTGGATCTACTAGAGTGAGCTCAGCACCCTAAGCAGAGCCAAAACAAGATAAAATACAATATTCTGCCAAGGGCTTGAGTAGCACTCTGAACAAGGGCTCTGGTAAAAGAGAAGGACATCAACTCTGCCAAACATCTTAGGTATCTAAGGGCTGCCCCTAAGACCTCGGAGAGTCAGTTTCTGAGGATGCACCTATACTCACAAGGCTCAGGCTACCTGCTGAACAGACCTGGGCTGCCCAGAAGTGCCAACAGAGGGGGCACATGCCCATTACTGGCCTGGGGAATGCAAATGAAAACAGGTGACAAAAGTTCAGTCTTTACAGTACCCACTTGTGACCCAGGTCTCTGTGAGGTGGGGCAGAGCAGATTGAGTGGAAGCGAAGTGGCTACTGCATGTCAGTTTAGCAAACGCAGGGGAACAACTGTTCCAGAACCTTGGCTGGAGTGGTGCTTCCTGGCAGTGAGGTGTGACTGCTGCACTTGGGAAACATGGCTGTGTGAAACAGAGGCCACTACACAGGTGTTCTGTGTCCTTGCTTTGGGCTGTGGTAGCCAAGAGCCCAGGCTCCAAAGCCAGACTTCAGCTCTGTTCCTGGTCTGTACTCAACCAACCCTGACCTCAGTTTCCCCATCTGTAACATGGGAATCCTAACTACACTGACCTTAGTGGACTGCTGTGAAGGATAAGTGACTGCATTCAGAACAGAGGAGCCACAAGTCAGCACCCCAAAGCTGCCAGCTACTAACTAGCACTCAGGTAGCTAACACTGCACACGAGACCTCAGGTAGTTCAGGTCACCTATGTCTACTGAGGACCCCTTACAGGTCAGCCCAGGATCTTCGGGGCACGTCAGAGATCCATCACTGACCACAAAGCTCTCCTGAAGGAAAAGACAGCCTCCCGTTCATAGTTATTCCTATGTACTTTCTTGCTTCCAACTTCAGGTGGGTGTTATCAGGCAAGGACAGACATGGACACTCAGGTCTAGGTGAGCAGTGTCCTCAAAGGGCAGGGCCTATAGAACTCTGGCAAAGTGGCAGGCAGAGACTGTAGAGATTGGGAAGGATTTTCCTTCCAGCAGGGGCTGTGCTCACCTATAATTTCTTAGTATCCATGGCTACTAGCTATAAAACTGCATGGGCAGAGGCCAGTTTGTGGCCTTCTGGGCTGACGAACCTATCAACACTCTGGCTACTTCTCCAGGCAAATAAAACACATGAGGAGACTGCTTGCTTCTCAAGGTGGTGTGCCATGTGCTGAAGCAAAATCCTTGCCCAAGTGTTTAGCACTATTAAAACTGTACCATGTACCTATGCTGTGCTGGACACCGGCTGGGTTATTTCCTGAAAAATATGTCTGGCCACTAAGTGTCATGTGAGAGGGGCCCTCAGCTGGGAGCCTCAGAGTCAGCGGCCATAATCACTGGGAGGTAGAGCTTAAGAACTCTGTCAGGCACCTCTACAGTGTGATGGATACCACAGCAGAGGATTAGGATGAGAAAAGTAGCCCCTTGGGAGCAAATACCCACCACGGGATGTCTGCCATGCTGCGGCCACATCAAAGACTTCAGCAAGGAAATAGTGTCAGGACTTTTCGTTTTGTCTTCCAACTTCTTAGGATACCATTAAGAGCACTGATATTGATAGTTGTTAAATAAAAGTCCTAAACTGGCCTCCTGCCTTAAGAGTGAGTGTCTTCTGTGACAGCAAAGTGGGTGTGCTGTGGCAGTTTTACACCTAAGGGCCTTGGAATGTCCTACCTGGTTTGCTCTTTCAAGGTCGGTCATGATCATTTCAATCTCGTCGGCCCTGGGAAAGTGAGAGGGAGAGAGGTTAGTTGGCAGCAAGGCAGGCTTGTGGAGGGACAGACGGACAGGCTTTCTGGCGCAGAAGGAGGCAAAATGACCACATTCACAAGGATTAGGCCAGGTTCCCAAGGTGAGTGGGAGAAAGGCCATGCAAATGTGTGAGGGGTCACTGCTGCTCCCTGCCCATGAGCTGGGGAAGGCACCACCAGTCTGCTGGTCTCATTCATGCTGCCAGGAGAGCAGGCTGGCCTGCTCTGAAGGAGCTCCTAATCTTGTTGGGAAGCAGAGCCAAAACAAGATAAAATACAATATTCTGCCAAGGGCTTGAGTAGCACTCTGAACAAGGGCTCTGGTAAAAGAGAGGAAGGGGAGATGATTCCCCTTAGGAGAAGAAGTCAGGGAAGGCTTCAGAGGAAGTGAGGGTAGTGTGGGTTTTGAAGGATGAACAGAAGCTTGCCAGGTTGGGGTAAGAAAAGGAGTCAAGGAAAGGCTACATCTAGAAAAGGGCCTTTGCAGTGAAGGCCTTGCCAGGACACAGGGAAGTGGGAGCAGGTGGTTGGCTGGAGGGAGGGCAGGCAGGGATGGACATGCCAGCTGGGGCTCTGCTATCTGCAGTGTGAATGGCTGAGGCCACTGCTACTGCCTGGCCTGCTCATAAAAGTAGAGCCTACAGGTTCTTATTTTCTTATCATTTTTGAAAGTACTTCCTCGAGGAGTTAGAAGGCAAATACATGTGATTCCAGCACATGCATCATAGGAGGAGAGCAGAGTCCTACTGAGAAGAGCCCACAAGTACCCAAATCTGTGTAGGCCAGAACAAGCTGCTGAGGAGTCACTACCCCACCTGCTTGACATAGGTCCTGCTGGTTACCCCTACCAGATTGCAGGCTTCCCCAGGAAGGCTCCAGTGTGCCCGGAGAACCTGGCTGGGCTCAGGGCTGGCCCTCTGTAGCTCCCTACCACCGACACCCAAGTGTTCCCTCTGGCCCTGTTCACTGCTCATGCCCACAGCCCTGTGCCCAGTAACTCTACCACATGTAGAATTTAAACTGCCCAGGCCCCACCCTGCACCAGGCAGTTCACTCCTTGGCCTTTCCCTCCTGTGGCTGTGTCTAAGGGAGCAACACAGTGTCCTTGCTCTCCCTGGCAGATTTCAGTTTCCACTTGATGCCCCACATATAGTGAGCTCTCTGAGGACCAGCTGTGTCTCCTTGGCCCTCCATTTGCAGGACTTTGCATTGAGCTGGAGGCCAGAGTCCCCAACATGTCTTGTCCTGCCAATAACAGACAGATCTGCTCCCTAGAATAGTCCATGGCATGTGGACAGACTCTGTCCCCTGATACCTGCTTCATGGGCCTGCAGCATGAGGAATGTGGGGGCCACCTCCCAATACTGAACGCCAAGACGGGGATTTCAGGCCTTCAAGTCCCTATGTGGTCAGTTCCATGGCCTGGGCTTTTCTGGCCTTAGCTTTCCACTGAGGTTTGGGCAGGCTTGTTACTCCCCAGCAGGCTGTCTCGGGTGACAGATGCACGGGGATTAGGTTCAGTGCGCACTGTATCTGTCTGAAATTGCAGCTGGCTTCCAGGCTGGTCTGAGGAATTTCTGAACCGGCCCATCCAATGGCCTAGTTAAATGGAGCTATTTTTAGGAGGATTTCATGGGGAAGGCAGTGTCTCTAACATAAAAACCCAGTGGGACCCTTGCTGTGAAGTGCTATTGTAAAGGCATGAGGTGGGAGTGGTTTAAATTACCAACATTCCACTGTATCATGTCAAGCAGACAGCACTACATCTTACAAATTGCAGTGCAAAGGTAGTCTAATAACTACAAAGGGTTAAAAAAACATTAAAAAGGTTGAAGGTTTTTTTCCCCCTTCTTTCTACTACTGTGATTGAACTCAGGGGCTTTGCATTGAGCTATATATCCCCAGCCCTTTTTTAAAACTTTGAGACACAGTCTCACTAAGTTGATAAGTTGCCTAGGCTGGGCTTGAACTTAGAATCATCCTGCCTCAGCCTCCTAGAGTGAAGGGATTACTGATTGTACCACCACACCCAGCTAAGGTTGAGGAAGGGCATCAGTCTACACAAAAAGTTGCTGGCTTTAAACTATGGATGAAGGATGTGGTATGGACTCTATTGGGTACAAAATAAAACAGAAAACAGAACAGAAAGTTTACAAACTTTTCTTAGGGCAAATCATGAGTTTTAAACACAGTTTTGAATGTTCATCAGACAATTCATCTTGCATTTGACAATGTCTAGATACACACAGTGAACTTCTGGGCTCCAACGTTATTTATCCTCTCACTCGCTTTATCCTGGACCATGCCTGACACCTAGTAAGTTTTCTGGTGCTGAGTGACCATATACAGACGTGGACATGCCTTGCAGTGTTACAGATTTAGAGATTTGCAGGTAAAAGGATATTGATGATGCCTAACTTCTCTCTTGGGTGCATATGCAGGGCTGGCTGCAAAAGTTAGGAGGTGAGCAAGGGATGGCCCCGCCCAGGCGAGGACAGTGGTTAAAGCGCTCTCCCATTTTGCTTAAATTCTTCCTAATTAAGTTCTCTTCATGCAAATATTTCATCTGCTCTGTTTAGAACTCCTGTTATCTGGACATTGTTTCCATACCCACATCTGTCCTCCACATATCAATGAACCTTTCTTATATGTTCTGTGATTTATCCTTTCCTGTTCCCTTCTGGAAGGTTTTTTTTAACTCGGTGTGACAGGTCTTTAGTTGCACCCATGCTGCAAGTCATCCTTTTTTGTTCCTTAGTTTACTAAACTTTTTACACCTGTTATTTTTATTTGCTTAATTTTTATATTACTCCTAGTTTATGTTTTACCTGGTTAATATTTTCCCTTGTTTCTGTGAGTCTGTTTCTCAGGCTTATTTCCATAGCTCACCTGTCCTCTTCAGAGTGTGTGTGTGTGTCTTTCAGAAGGGCTGTTCTCTTCTGGGGCTAGCTGTTTGTCCATGTGCTTAAGTGCCCACCTGGGGAGGGGAGACCAGTGATTCCACTTGACAATTGATATAGGGGAGGTTGGAGAAGCCAGCCCTGGTGTGTGCTTCAATATGAATGGAAGAAGAAAGGCTTGCAGTTGGTGTTTAGCTGATTTTGCTCAATGAAAGGGCCCTTAGCCTCCTCATAGGATTCCCTCTGCTGCACCTTCATCAGGAGAGCCCCGTATCCTGAGCTCAGCCTTTCATTTCCAGGGAGAAGCAGCAGCAAGAGGAGGAGAAGGAGGCTCCCTGGTGTGCGACTCCCTCTCCACTGTGTCCACCCATGCCTCACTCCTTGCCTGACACAGCAGGGGTCACACACAACAGCTCTTGGAATGGAGAGGGCACCTGAGCCTGTGGGGAGGGCAGGGCCGGGATCCTGGGGCTGGAGAGGTGGTGCTCAGGTGTTTTAGGAACCTTCCTATATGTCCAGGCTCTCCAAGTTTCTTCTCAGAAAAATGAATGGCTTTGGATATCCAGGAAACAATGCCTCATCTCCAAAAGATTTCAAGTCACTTAAAAAAAATTAGTCACATTTAAACAGGAAGGTGCCTTCTGGGCTGTCTGAAGCAACCCTTGGAAATGAACTTCAAGTTTTCCATGTATGGGTCAGTTTAACTTTGGTTCCTAAGCAACTGCTGAGTAGACCAAAATACTGAGTGTGATAACAACCACAGCAGCACTTACCTTTCATCATGAAAGTAACTCTTGTCTTTCCCAAGCTTGCAAAGGACAATGAAAACACTGAACTCTGCTGTTGCTGGGTGGGGTTATTCAACTCTAGCTATGGTGATGACAGCTTGTCCCAGAGAGATTGCAGTTCCCCACCACAGAAAGGGCCCAAGACTATGTGAATACCATAGCATCTTACATAAAAAGCACTTCAGCAGTCCTTGTACTCTGGAGGGTGAGGCAGGGACACTGGAAGAAGCCAGTAATGCCACTGGTAAGAAATTCAGATTATTATTTTTTTTTGTGGTATTGGGGATTGAACCCAGAGCCTTCATGTTGAATTACAGCTCTAGCCCTTTTTGAGATGATCTTGCTAATTTCCCCAAGCAGGCCTAGAACTTGTAATGCTTCTGCCTCAGCCTCCCAGACTGCCAGGATTACAAGTGTGCACCACCATATCCAGCTAGATTATTATTTAAAAGTTGGTAGGCTTGCCATTCATTTTCTGGAGGTTTTCTTTTTAGTCAAAGGAACAAAATTAGTTACAATTAGCTAGGAATTTGAACTTCAGCCATTGGCATCTGCAAGGCTGGACTAAGATGACTTGTGCCACCTTGGACCATCTCCTCTGGATCTTTATGATTCACTCTTACCAAGCTGGTGCATGCACCGCCCACCGCCCCCCAGCAAAATCAATCCTACCAAACAAACTGCCCTCAGGAAGTCCTATGAAAGTGCCCAGAGGTTAATTATCACAGCCATCCATGTTACTTTACAAGGGTGATGAATTAAACTTGCACATGTTCTTATAGTGTGAATGTTAACAATTTTCCAAAAGTGTCTCATTCTTTTCATTGTGAAGTTTCAACTACCACCTTGGTATCCACAGTCTGGCATTAGTCTAAAATCATTTATTTTCTGAAGTCTGTTATAACTGCACATATTGTTTGCTCAGCGGAACAATTTATTATAAAAATTTAGTTCCCTCACCTTTTTACGAGCTGACAAAACAGCTTTCACTCATCTATTAACCTGCACTGCCTTATGCTCTGCTCTGACTTCGAATAGTGGATAATTTCAGTTTGGCCTAGAATATACAGTTCATTCAATCTACTCCCTACAGATCATTTTAAGGTATTCTCTGGGCTAACACACATTTTTTTTTTTTAACACACAATTTTTATGAGCAACTTCAAAGGACATGGTCAAGGTTGATACAAAGGAAATTATACCCATGCTAGAAACTGTGTCTCATTTCATAAGAGCCTTCTAAATGCTGGCATCCAGCACTAGGACAAAGCTTGTGCATATTTC